GTCTTTCGGGCATAAGAAAGCCTCAAAAATCTTCTCTACTTCACGCGACCATTTCTCCGCTCCATCCGGACCCAAATCTCCTCCAAAACGAGGCGGATTATGCCTCATGAACTCGATCGGCCCCATCTCGCTCCGATTGGTGATATCCAGCGAGAGGATGATGCCATAGTTGGCCTCCACTACGTGTAGGTAGCCTGCTGCTCGCATGGCAACCGCCAACATTTCCATTGTCCTAGCTAGGGCATCTACACTCTAGTGGAGTAGGAGTAGGAGGTCGCGGTGCCATCCTATATCAAACGCAACCATCAATACAGAGCAAACATTCACGCACTCACAATCAGAGTATAATCACAACGGACTTATCATAGGTTCACTACCCATCCCCACATATTTAAAAGGATACTACCGCTCTGATACCACTATTGTAACGACCCTAGAAATCGCTACTATAATGATGTCTTCGCAAAGTCGTAAACAAGTAAATAACAACATCTATTTTACATTATATTACTGTAATTGTAACATATATTGAAATTCCAGTTCACTAACGTAACTTCAAAATATAGTAACATAATTTATTTATATATTATACATGTAAAAGTAGCTCCTCGAAGCTATCCCATCGAACTATCCCCGTTGTCCAAGTAGTTACATCACCATCTCTCAACTCCCGATATGCTCCCACATAAAAGTGATCATCGCAGTCCCATCCACATGGAAAAATAGGGGTAAGTATTAAATCATTCGATATAATAAAACAGATATAGAAGTAATAATTATATATTATGATCAATTACGAAATTATCAACACACTAAGACACCTTCCGTAAGTATACCTAACTATGCTCGAACTCAGAGGCTATCATCTGTGGGCACATTGTGATCGGTACCCGCAGTACCATTTTGACCACCCTCCACACAGAGTAGAATTACTGGCGCCCTTCATCACTCATACTGGAGTACCCCTCCGAGCGCGCCACCAGTCATCCCCCCATCGACTTCTCACCACCTGATCTCGTAGTCTACCTGACCCGACCAATCAGTGAAGTCTGGGACCTCATTCAGAATCCTCCGACATAGTTATTACACTAATGTACTCTGTACCACCCCGGGTACCATTCAAACATACAAAATTTATTCACATTTGCCGGATTCTGGACCACCTGTCCTCACGGCTCATTCGGGTAAATAAAAATAGTATTTGACTGATTCTGACACCAACCTTCTGGCTCAGTCTAGCCAATATATAATGTCTCAGGACTGATTCTGGGCATCAGCCCTCAGGCTTAGTCTGACCCACACACGTCACAACACTCTACTTTCATTCTCTCTCTCTTTATATACATATATATTTTCCTAAAATCATTTCCGAAATCATTTCTGAAACTATTTCCGAAATCATTTTCGAAATCATTAAATTACTATTTTGCCCTTAATCTTTTCTTAAAATTCCATGTATGCCCCTAAATGACTATTTTACCCTTGGACATTTTTGAAAATTTCATTTATGTCCCTGTGATGTAAAATGACTAGTTTTCCCTTGATCTTTTAAAAAAATCCCCACCATATCCCTTTCTTCTTCCTTCGCTCGCTCAAGCAAGTACACCGGTGCTTGAGCGAGACATGACCCGAGAGTCCCCTTTGTTTGAAGGCTTCGTCGCTCAAGCGAGTACAACGGTCGCTTGAGCGAGACATGACCCGAGAGTCCCCTTTGTTTGAATGCTTCGTCGCTCAAGCGAGTACACTGGTCGCTTGAGCGAGACAGGATCCGAGAGTCCCAAATTTTCCAGGTGTCCTCGCTCAAGTGATGTATTTTTCGCTTGAGCGACTTTTGCAGATTTTCCAGTTCGCCATTTTCGAAATCCAGGTTTCAAATTTCTCAGTTTCAATCACCCAAATTAGTTCCAAATCAAATTTTAACAATAAACATGTTCAATTTAAGTTAAAAACAACAATTTTAGTATATAATTCATCCTTAATTTCAATAATTAAAAAAAAAACTTTCAAACGATGAACTGTTCATAAAAATCAGAAATTCTTCAAAATTAGACATTCTTCAAAATTAAAATTAGACATTCCAATACTTCATATCTCTACTCCTATTCCTTATTCACGAGTACCCAACAATTCAATTTCATATATTGAATGAATTAAACTTTCCCTTACTTGGTATGGTATTTCTACCGAAGCTTTCCCACTTAATTCAAGTTTTCTCCCGTTTCACTGGATCCCGCACGAGTAGAGTCTCGTTGCTTGAAATTTAGACAATAGAAGAAGAAGGATGAGAGGAAAATTTTTGATTTCCCTCCTCCCCCGCTTCAGTATTCATATATAAGAAAATTTTTACTGTGCATGAGGAAAACTTCGTTACGAAGTTTTCTTGCACAGTAATATTAATATAATATTAAAATAAGGCATACGTCACAATCAATGAATAAACTCATCATATAAAATAGAATTATTATAAATATAATAAAATACAATAGAAAACTAAATCAAAAATCTACAAAATTATTGGGATAAAAACTTATCCAAGAAAAATAAAAACACTTGTTTTGAATAAAAAATAAAAAGTATGATAAATAATTAAACTAAATTAATTTGAAATATGTATTATTTTAAAAATAAATAAAACCCAAATACATTTCTTGTATAATTTATTATTTTGACTTAATTTTACATAAACAAAATAACTGTTACTTTATGTTATTACAAAACCGAAAATTTGTAAAAATAATATATGAAGAATAACTTTTAAAATAACTTTCATAAAAATGTACATAAAAAAAAGTCTTAAAGAATGTTGATTTAATTGATAAAAGAATATATGTTTTTCTGGTGGAAATTTGATTGATTTCGATTTCTCAGAGACTTTTGTTCTAATCAAATTTCAACCACGCAGATTTTTTTTACTTAGGCTAGCAAACGGTTTTCAATCGAAATATGTATGAGAATCGAAAATCTCATAGTATCAAAAAACACTAACAACGCAACCTAGTGTGCTGACAATCGAAAATACTATTTTTGGTATTTTGTATTAAGAAACTCGAAGTAAAGAAACACTAAAAAGTATCGAATCGAAAAAGCAGTGCAGAATATTAAATTGCAGAGAAATGTAAAATGCGGAAACCTTAAATTGCATTAAATGTAAATGACAAGGAATTGAAATTGCAGGAAAGTAAATAACAGGAAATCGAAATTGCAGAAATGTAAATGGCGAAGAACTTGAACGCAGAATCTTAACTTACACAAAGGTAAAATGACAAGGAGTTGAAAGTACAGAAACTTAAATTGATAAATGTAAATTGCATGAACGTAAATTACTAGGGAAAGTAAAGAAAGCGATAAAGACAATCAACGATAATGGAAATCCAGAGCATTAGAAACATCATGATGCGTCGTTCTCCTGTAGACTTTTCACTAGCGTTTCTATTCTCTTTGACAATTCCCCCATTTCCTTCACTCTTCGTTCTATTTATAGAGCCTCATTCAGGTAACCTCCTGAGAGCAGTTAACGAAAACTGCTACCACGTTCTACGTGCACGTCCCTTGAAGTTTTACTTTAGTTCTACGTTTTTTAGAAAACTGTTTTTACGTTCCATACACGTTTAACCGGTCCTCAATTTATAACTTAGCCATAATTTCGATAGTCATGTAGGTTAACCTTTCCCTTGATCTCGATTTCAAATCTCGAGAACTTTGAATTGTTTTTTATTCCCCTTAACCTTAACATTACACTTGATTCTAATTTCTCGATTTTCTTCAACAATAGACATCAAATATTCTTCCTTCGATTCTTGATTCCAATTCTCGATTTATGTGTTCATATTGTCTCGTGGTCATCGAATGTCTTTCAACCATCTTTCCGATTTCTCAAATTTTTAACCAATCATATGATCATTGATTTTCTTTCCTCCACTTTTCGTTACTTGTATCGATTTTATTTTTTCACTAACAATATGTCATGGAAATAATATAAATTTAAATTTTTGATTCAATTGGAATAACACTCTATTACTGATTATTGAATAAAAATTTGAGCATTGAGTAAAAATCCTTTTATAACTGTCATGTTTAATTAATTTGAGAGCACTTTCTTAATTAAAAATAATTATGTAAAATAGAGGAGTATATTCTTAAATTAGTTAAGAAAATACAATTTTTCTTTTCTT